ATCTATGTTTGTCTAATTATCATGCAAAGTTGAATTCGAAGGTTATATTCCTATCTAGCATACATGGGGAACAATTTTAACTTAAAGTATAGATAGAATAACTTACCTTGTTGTTGTTTGTGTTCCTTGAAACCTTGTGAGCCTAGCACCCCAAGTGTGATGCCTCAAATGCTTCACACAACACCAAATGCTCTTGGAAGAACTTATGAGAGAACACACACTTCTCAAAAATCAGCCAAGCCCTCTTGTTTCTTAGTGTAGCTGATTTTAGGTGGAGAACATGTTTCTTATATAGTGTTGACACATCTAGGGTTAAACCCTAATGTGTCATGACTCTTCATTTCCATGGCCCATGGGTTTGTAACTCCCATGGAGCATCCTATGGGTGGAACCCAACTTGATAATCCATGGAGCCTCTTAGCCCACTATACAAGATATTAATGATTTACATAATCAACCCATATATTTAATTAGTTATCTTTTGATCACATAATTAATTCTAAATTAATTCTTGATCAAACTAATCAAATAATATTATTAATATATTAGAACTTATAATATATTAATAATCTCCAAGTGTTATTTCTCTCATTTAGTCTATCCAATTGCATGGTGCCATGCAACCCAAATGGACCATGCCGGGTTGGGTCAAGTACATACCAAAAATAGTTATGGACTTAGACACCTTATCCAACAAAAACCTCGTCGAAATCCGAGTTATAACGAAGAAGTTATGACCAACCGAAGATCCGCGATAAAACCGACACGACGCCGAATGGAGTAAAAAGTGAGTTTTTGATAAACTACTTTTTAGCCTTAGTGATCTAAATGAAAGTTGTAATATTCGTTAAACCGAGAAATTCGATAAAAAGAATGCCAAAATCTGACTGTGTATGAGGAAGTTATGATCTCTCATTTGAAAGAGTCATTTTTTAGCGTTAGACCTAAGGCCATTTCATATAGGAAATTTCAGTTAGTAAATTAATTGACGAACTGAATCTTTTTGCAATAAAGGTCATATATTGCAAAAAATTTGACCATGAAACCGTTTAATACTTTCATGTTGGTTAGATGATACACAAATGCAAACTTGCAAAATTATAGAAGAATTATGAATTGTTTTTACTGTATATGATTTTGAAGATGATGAGTTTGATGGTCAATAATAGACTAAGATGGAGACGAACAATGCAAACGTAGTCCCAATGTTCAAAAATAACAAATACATTTATTTTAATCCGGACACAGATTGTCGAAAATAAAAATAATCACCGTGAGATAGTAATCACCGAATTAACCATTGGTCGCCGATGTATCGTGAAAAAGAAATCAGAGCAATAGATAAGGAACTAAACCTATACCACACCTACGTACTCAGTTGTAGTGGCAGACACATGATTTCTTAGTAGTTGTTGCCAGTGGCACATAGCTGTTGGTGGAGACATTTTTATTACATAGTGGCACAATAGTATAAAAATGAAAAATTCAAAAAAAATTACACTGCGTCCGAAAAACATAAGGGGTTGCAGGTGCCCCTATTGGCACCCCGACTTAGCTCAAAACTATTTGCTGAAAGGAGCTATCCAAACTTAAATAATCCATCAAAAGGCTAAAACGAACTATCTAAAATGAAAAAGAAACTAATCCCCGTATGAACATTATCTACCGGAAGGAACTATCTGTTGTCGCCGCATCGCGCGGGTATCCTACTACTATATATATATATATATATATATATATATATATATATATATATATATATATATATATATATATGTTCCGGTTCATTTGAGACCATTTTAATTTTGTGAGACTGTAAGACCAAATCTAAAAATAATTTTAAAATGCAAAATAAATGGAAAAATCCAAAAATTCTTTTTTTAAATATTATTTTCGGAACTTGAATTAACTAAAAAAAATAAAAAAAAATAAAATAAAATAAAATAAAAAATCCCGTTTTTTTTTTTTTTTTTGAAAAATATGTGAAATATTCTAAATAGAATATTACACTGACGTATTCTAAAAAATAATTTTAAAATGCAAAATAAATGGAAAAATCTAAAAAATTCTTTTTTTAAGTATTATTTTTGGAACTTGAATTAATTAAAAAAAATTAAAAAAAATTCTATTTTTTTTTGAAAAATATGTGAAATATTCTAAATAGAATATTACACTGTACATATTCTAAAAATAATTTTAAAATGCAAAATAAATGGAAAAATCAAAAAATTCTTTTTTTAAATATTATTTTCGGAACTTGAATTAACTAAAAAAATTTTAAAAAAATAAAAAAAATTAAAAAAATGCGTCCCACGGTCTCACAAAATTAGGCCGTCACACATGAACCTAACACTATATATATATATATATATATATATATATATATATATATATATATATATATATATATATATATATATATATATATATATATATATATATATATATATATATATATATATATATATATAAAGAATAATCAATAACTAGCGTGTGTTATAAAGAAAAAAGATTGAGATTATATAAATCTGAAGGAAAAAGAATGTAGAATAAGTAGACATTTTTTTTATTAAATTGCTATATAAATCAATTTGATAAATAAGTATAAAGTTATATTTAAATAAGTTTTTTAGAAATACCTATTTGGTAAAAGAATCATAAAATAAGATTATGATAATACAATAATTTAATAAATGCGACATATGCTATTTAATATTAATTAAATAACAAAATTATAGGTCATCCTCTCCTTTTCATCTCACGTTATCTATCAACCTATTGTATCCTTGCTTTACTTGTATGTCTTTTTTTTTTTCCCAGTTTCTTCCTAGCTGGTGCCCATTTCTATAAAATTTTACCGTTTCTAAAAAAAACTAACAAAATTATAATATCTTATTAAATGGTATAAGAAGATAATTAAATAAATGCTAAAAAGATTATTATAATCCAACAATACAATAAAATGATAGATTAACTATACAGTAAATGCTATATTACCAATATAATAAATGATTATTATATGAATACATGATGAATGACGACAAAATAATATAATAAATACTATACTGATATTTCAACTTTTAGCATTAGCATTAATATTTTATTCAAACATTTATAATTTAAAAATTATTATTTTAGAATGGTAAGTGATTCTTACATAATAATTTTTCTCCATATAAAACATTTTATGCTTAATAGAGTTTTATAATACTATTTTAAAACATAATTTTTATGTGTAGAGAAATTTTGTATTTTGTTGTATACGAATCAGTTCCATTTTAGAATATTCTTTAAAAAAATTAAAATGATGTATAATCAACTATATGTTATTACATTGATAAAAAAAATTATTATAACATTTTTTTTATTATACATAGATTATTAAAGTTCATAATAAGACAAAATATATACTATTTTATTTATATCTTAGCTCCTTGATTTGATTTTAAGAAAGAGTTGGTTACTCATATATGGCATTAATTAACTTAATAAATTTAATTTTAACACAAAGAATAATGAGACTCTGCCCTCCCCCTTATAAATGGAGCATATAAAAGTATTAAGAAAAACACTTATTATTAGCTTACTGAGAAAAGAATACAAAATGAGTAGACATATTTTTTTTTGTTAAATTGTTATACAAACCATTTTGGTTAGAAATACATATTTGGTAAAAAGACTCATAAAATATTATCATTTTCTAATAAACGAAGTTTTTTTATTTTTTATTTTTATTTTTATTTTTATTTTTATTTTTTTTGTTGTTGTTAAATTGCTATACAAACCATTTTGGTAACAAATATATATATTTGGTAAAAAGACTTATAAAACAACATCATTTCTAATAAACGAAGGTTTTTTTTTCTCCACTTGTCGTACTTTCATTCAAATTGTTAATGTTATTTTGTGGTTATTTTGATTTTTTTTTCCATATATCATTTCATAAGTTTTTCCAATTTATTAAATTTAGCTTAATATTTTAATATGATAATTGCAATAAATGTAGTAATAAATAGATATCAATTTCATTAATAAACTTACATTTTAATTTAAAAATTTTTAAAATTAAAGTTCATTAGATTCTTTTTTTTTATTTAAATTATTTGGTTAATTTTAAAAGATAAAAAATATTTCCACTACAATAATTCATTATTTTTTTAGTTTCTTATAAATTCATAGTGCTCAAATATTTTGATCTTTATTTATATATATATATATATATATATATATATATATATATATATATATATATATATATATATATATATTAAATTAATCAATATAATACATAAGATTTACAACTAGTTATGATAATACAGTATTGTAATAAACACCATTGCAATGTAATAATAACTAAATAATAAAATTATAATATCTTATTAAATGTTAGAAGAAGATTACAAATTAAATGGTTAGAAAGAATTATTACAATTCAACAATATAATAAATGCTACATTATAATTTTTTTTTAAATGGCAAATCTACAATACTTATAAACTTTTTTTAATTTCATCTATGTTTACTGCGAGACTTGAACTATCAAAACCTCGAAGAATTAGAGCAACACCAGATACCGTTAGGTTATATAGAATGACAACAAATAATATAATTAAACTTTTAGCATTAGCATTAATTACTTATTCAAAAATTGATAATTTAACAATTATTAATTTAAAATAATTTTTAAAAAATTAAAATGACGGATAATCAATTATATATGTCATGTACATTGATAAGATAATTTTTATTATAGCATATTTTAATTTTACCATGGTTCTTAAATTTCATAAAATATACTATTTTATTTATATGTTATATCCTTAATTTGATTTTGTAAATGGGAGAAAATTGATTACGCGTAAAAATTAATTAACATAATAAATTTATGTTTGACACAATGAGTAATGACGCTCTACCCTCCCCTTTATAAATTGAGCATAAGAGTATTAATGAAAACACTTATTAGTAGCTTCAGTTGTTTAAAAGCAAATAGCAAGACAATGCGTTCCCTCTTAATCATTGTCATCTTGTTCACAATCTCATCATTCTTGTTTTCATATGCAACATCAGATGTTCATTGCGTAATTCTTACAAGATGGCATATGTTTGTAACCAACGATATCTCTGAAGACATCACAGTTCATGTGACATCACGAAGAGATGATCGTGGAAATATTACCCTTCCATTTCAGGCTACTTATGATTGGGATTTTTGTGAAACTGGGCAAATAGTTTATGCTGGTCAGTTTTGGTGGGGTTCAAAAGGTCAAATTATGAATTTGTATGATACTGAAGCTTGGGAAGCCTGCAATAATCATAAATTATGGGTTACTCAACATTGTTATTGGTTAGTAAGACCGGAAGGATTTTATATTGGTACGCAAAACCTGCCTTTTCCAAATGACAATTGGCAGTTTAAAAAATCTTGGTCGTGAAGGACATGTAATACATTTACTTTCATTATGAAACATGATATAAAAATAAATTAATTAAAGTTTCTTCTTATTTTCTATTGTTTCTTAATATCTATAATTAGTTTTATCTTTAAAAGAGCTTATTTATATTTAATAATCTTATTTGAAAAATGTCAAATTTATGTTCTTGATTGTCTTTCGTCAATATAATTGTGAATTTCAATTTTTTTCATTCACTTGAATGTAAAATATATAATGTGTGAAGTGGTGGAAAAGTAAGGGGAGTTTGGTTCTTGAGATTTGTTCGGAATTGGAATTTGATTTCAATAATTTTGTTGTTTTTGTCATCAACCACTCAATGGTTATGTTTATCTTCCAGAATAAGATTGTTAATTCGTTGGAGCGTGGCGTCAAGGGCCGATGAAAGCACACCAAGAACTCGATTGCTAAAGTTTTTTGTATAATTAATAATTGGTTGAAGATAGAACTATGTTGCTGGAATGCTATCACCCAAATACACACTTTCTATGATTTGTAATAAGTATATACAACTATGAACAAATGTTGATTTTGAAAGAATGAGATAGAATACAAAATGTTTATCGAAGATATGCATTTGACTATTAATCAACATTGTAAAAAGTTGGTTTCTTAATTATTCAAATTTATTTTGTAACTTGTCAACTATGAACAAATTTATGTCGGTCGAAATGTAAAATTGATTTCTTAGTTTTAATGTTTTGAGAACATTACTTATTTGATAGTTGATCCAAATATTTTTAGATGTATGTTTCTAAATTAAAGGAACAACTAGCTCCTTGTTTGATTTATTTCGAATAAAAATATGTAAAACAATTGAGAGATAACTTGAACTTGTTCTTATGAGTGATATCACCACATAGTGCCTTAAAAATTAAATATGAGTTTACCTATTGAACATGAGCCCATCTTAGTGTACAGGGATAGAAATTCGAAAAAAAAAAATCTAATATCCATGGTCGAGGGATAAAAGAGAATATAAGTACAAAACACACACACACATGAGACATAGAGATTTAACATGGTTCGGTCGATGTGACATACATCCACAAATGCTAGAGAGAATATTATTATTTACAGAGCTTAAAACAAGTGGTATTGATCTTTATAGTTGTAGGCTTTATAGATAGACCTAGCTAAGAAAACTAACAAATACACCAACTCCGACTTACGCAACATGTCTAAGGTTGATGTGGCATGTATAACCTTTTCGTCGCAATACGTGGCATATTATCTTCCAAGTACGGCATGTCTGGAGTTGTTTACAACTCAGATAAATATGTTTAGCTCTATAAGTCTGATGTGTATTTTTAATACACTGATTTTTTGTTTTATGATTCCTCATCCATCGCATCTAAACTACACCTTACAGGCAGTGAACCTGAATGAGTATAATATAGTTTTGATAAGAAAAGGTGTATAGTTTTGTTAAACAATGGTGTTGAACTCAAAAGGAAAGGGAGCGAATTAATATAAGAACTTTTGATTGTAGGTTAAATTAAATAAATCGAAAGCAATAAAAACAAGGTTTTATTGTTAAATCTCAAACAAATAAATAACTAATGAACTAGATAAACTAATTGGAAATGAATCACGTCAGGTACTTTGGTTTAGTTTGAATTACCTCCTAACATCATGGTTAAATTCGTTAATAGTGTAATGGATTTATTAGTTAGTTACCAGCTTCTAATGTGATTAGTTATCTTGATCAGATTTTCTAGTACTAACAATTAATGAACAACTAACACAATGATCATGTAATTAATCTGATGTATATTCGGAAAATGAAAGATGTGATCTAGTGATTTCTCATCACTGGTCATGATAACCAAATAAAGCATAGAATGTATATCTAAACTCTCTAACAAAGTTAAAATCATCCATTAATATTACATAACCCTAGGATTTGTTTGATCTCTAGTCCTAACAGTTTATAGTCATAAAATAGTTAAGATTCAAGCAATGTAATCAGATTGTTCATCTAAACTACACATAACTCAATAATAGCCAATACAAATCAAAACCTTAACATGATATGTGGTGCAGTATATCAAACATAATTATTAACCAAACTAATAAAACCCAGATTATTGAATTCAACGTATAATATCGAGGTTCATCTACTCCAAACGAAAGCAAAAGGTTTTGACACCCTAATTTAAAATGTAGCAATACAAATGGAAATAACTAGATTGATAATCATGATCGGAAAAGCAAACCGAATGATTCCTGTCATGAATCAACTCTCGAACCATATAGATCTTCGCCCCATATCAGCTTAACGACCCTCTAGCCGCCTTCTAGACTTTCAAAAATGTAGCTTGGGGATTTATGTTTTTAGAAACAAAATTAGGTTTGAAGATATGTAATTAGGGTTAATTTAATTTCACCTTAATTTATAGGTTTCAGTGTTGCCACATTGTGGAAAAAGACTTGTCATGTCTTGGTAACTAGAATCTTTCACGTACATGAATTTTTGATTCACCACGTCGTGCTAATTGCTATTTCACGGCATGGGAAGTGTGAATCCGAATTCAGCACAAACACGAAAGACATCCAAAATTTTGTGTAGTTTTCAGAACATCGTGAATCTCCTAAATTAGGGTTATGAGTCATTAGATATGGCCAAAATATTGAAGAGAGCTCAATCTATCCAACAACGTCCTTTTTGTGTCTTTTCAGCTTTATTCTATTACTTTTGCATTCCAGCTCTGATTTTAATAGCAAATACACATTTTAAAGCATATTAAGTATCATATATTGTAACACTAGTCAAAATAGGTCAATAACAATCGCATGTGATTATATCAATCATGTAATATGATTTTGTTAAACTAGTAATGTAGTAAACTCACTATGTATTTCATGATAATTCTAATATAAATATGAACGTTCATACATACTTTATGGTATAAATCAATGTATATGTCCATACGATTCCAAAAACAGAATTTGTATGCAAAAGTTACAACCTTCCAAAGTTACAGCTGTCTGAGAGCACGACACGTGTCAGAAACCCTAATCTGACTGGACTCACGACGTAAGCATCAAAACTCACGATGTGAGGAGTCAAAACGCCACATTTTGAAGCTAGAAGTCTACGAAACAATAACCCAAAAGCTCACGATGTGAGCAAGGTTTTCTTACAATGTGAGGACGCTACAGGACATGAATCGGGGCTAGAAAACACGCATTAAAGCTATGGGATGACTCTTGCCATAGCTCACGATCTGAATCTATCATTCTCACGTCGTGAGAGGCCAAAAATCAATCTATAAATAGCAATTCCAGCCTCTTCTCTCTTTACACCATTTCTTTTCTCTCTCTCTCTCTCTCTCTCTCTCTCTCTCTCTCTCTCGTTTGTTGAAGTTGTTTCGCTTCCCGAGCGCCGGTGACCTTGTACCGCTGACCGTATCTGCTTAGATTACATAAAATCACGTTGCTAAGGTGAGTTTCACAACCCCACTTTCTAATATTTTTGGGGGAAAACGCATGCTAAATATTGTATAAATGATAATATTATGTCTATATGATAGTGTATTAATATCAACATACGCAGTTATATTAACCGGGATATAGTTGTTCTAACTATAAAATTTTGAATATACACAACTATTATCAACTTATTAGCATGTTATTATACAAATGTGGATCTTGAGTTATACTTAAGATTCTATATATATGTTTTGTGTGATATAGTTCTGAAGTTATATTCGGAAGTTCTATATGTTAATTTATAAAGTATGCTGTAATTGTTAGGTTTATGACAAGATAAAACTTGGTATGTTACATGTTTTTGTTGTTATTGGTTTTATGTCAAGATAAAACCTGGTTTTACTTCAAGTTATAGCTATTATAATACCTAAATGTTATGAAATTAGGAGTACTGTTTAAAAGTATAGTCTAGTAACTTAGGGTTTTAGATATAAAAATGCTTTTGTTGTTAGAACTATAGAACGCCATCAAAGTCTACATGACCTACCTCATTCATCATCTAAGATTGGGGATCTTAGTGGAAGTCCTATGACCTATAACCGTTAATCCCGTGTGACCAAGGACGTCGTGTATGAATAAGATACGGGTTGATGACCCCACTCATGGTTGTTAATGACAACACAAGACAAGTGACTGATGATCTGTTCCTTTTATTTGTTATTGTTCCGGCATCGATGAAGCGCGCGGTATTGTTTCTCATGGTAAATCATGAGTGTATTGTTTCTCATGCTAAATCATGAGTGTGTTTTGTCAAAGGTTTTGTTGTCAAGTAACGGTTATAGACTCATGGTAGCAACTTGTTAGAAACATTATACTTCATCGTTATACAAGTATTAATGTTAAGTATAAGTTCCCCCTACTTATACCCTAGGTACTACTTATATTAAGTAGATAATTATACCTAGCACACATACTCGTATAGAATTGAAATAGATTTATACGTAGTGTTTTTACTCGTATAGAATTGAAATAAGATTTATATGTAGCAACTTTCGTTTGTATGGAATTACAAACACTTATATTCATAATATATGAGACTTATAGGTAAACTACTTATTTGGTAAGTAAACCATTATACATGATATATAGTCTAAATGTTGGAGAGTCAAAATAATACTTTCAAAACTATACTTTTGAATTTGAGAAAAAGTGTTATTTTGTATGGAGTCATTACCTATGAACTCACCAACTTTATGTTGATGTATTTTAAATGCATGTGTTTTTACGAAGTTGATAACTATGATACGAGAAATGACGTTACACTACCCGGTGTTTCCGCCGACGGCCGGGGTGTGACATATATCTTAAAATATAACATTTTGTACTCAAATATATTAGGATAATAGGCTAAACTACATAGTTAAATAAGGTCATATCAAAATACTCAACACTAATTTGTTGCTTGTCCCTAAGCAAAACCATATTTATTATCATTTCATTTAAATAACACCACATGAAAACCATGCTCACCAATATCACACAGAATA